ATATATAAAAATATATATAATTCCCAAGTCACAAAGCTCTGAAGTGCAGTCACTGAAGTGCCAAAGCGTAGTTTGCATTTGCTTGGCAGCAGTGGGGCAGAATGATGCAGCCTGCAATGGAGCATGTTCCTCCTCCCCCTCTAGCCTGCTAGCATGCTGCTCGGTGCCTGTGAGGCTGCAGGGACCTTGCACGACTCCCGTTCATTGCGAGGGCTGCCAGAGCTTCCCTGTGGGTCTTCTGGATTGTGCAAAAGCTTCTGGGAATCACAGAGAAGGCTGGAAAGTGTGAACTGGGCCTCACCAGCAAGTAGAGAATAGTTCAGATCAAGTGCTGTGTTCCAGAGGGCTTCTTGAGAATTTAAAGGAAAGGGGAGAGCAGCTATAGGACAACCTCTGAAATGTGAGTAGAGGAAACAGATGGCCAGAAAACTTTTAAAAAAAGGTTTTTATGCCTAAAAAAGCATAAAGTAAGAGGCTGTTTTTCCTGGAGCACTTCTTCAGATGAAGCAGGAGCAAAGGTGGGACCTACACGGCTGAGGAAGTGAACTGCAATGGGTGAAGGGGGGGGAGTTCCACCATGAGTAGCTCTACCACAAGAAGGGTTTTTTTGTTTTGTTTTTTGTTAAATAGCTGGGGATCAGATTAGTCAGAATTTTGTTCTGCCTCAGTCTTATTTTGTGCTACTCTATTTCTTGCAGAACCTATAACTGCATGCATTTCTTAGTTCGTATTGATGAGATTTTGCTTTCTTTTGTGCATGGTATCTATAACTTCTGTTCCTTTAGGTTTTGTCACACACATATTTTGCAAGAAACTGGATCAGTGAAGGACAGGACAGAGGAATTTGCAACAAGAGTAGGATTTTGAATGCAAAGGGTTGCTGGGTACAGGGCTAACTGAACACCACCAACACCAACTCCGCCCGAGCTCTGTTTACATACAGCACTGACTCCCAAACGTTTTGGCCCCTGGGATATTACCAGTCCTCAAACTTCCTTGTATAGCCAGACCTAGCTGATAAATATCATGATCATGGCTACTCCTGAACATGCCTAGCTACGGATCACTTACCACCAATGATGTTAAAAAATTATTTTCCCTGAAACACTTCCTACTTCTCATTTCCAAATACCAATACCTCACACAGTACAGCTGCAATGCAACTGTACAGGCTCCCCATCTGGGGATTCCTGAAGAGGAATTGTTTGCAGTGACTTTGACCTGACAGGAACTGAAGATGGTTTTACTATTGGAAATGACATCCCAAAACTGCTCCTCTCTAGGCTCAGAAAGACAGACATACATACAGGGGAAACACTCACCAGTCTCAGGAGAAGTGGTCTTCACAGAAAGAAGTTTGACTCCTTCTTTATCTGATTGGGCCCTGCTGAAGTCAGAAAACATTTAAGCAGACAGTCAGCATGCAGTTCAGCATGCATGTTGGTCAGCCAAACAAAACTCTAAGATTATGATCTGGAGGAGGCAACACCTATGCCAGTCTACACTGGTGGACTTGAAATGGGCTTTGCATGGCATGATGTGTAAGTCTTGGTGGTGGAAAACACCATATACCGATATCTCTGAAAACACCTTTCCCTTAAAATATGTAAAAAATCAAGTAGCATGACTCCAGTTTCAATCTAGTGCTCCACAGAAGTAGTACATCTGGGGGAACAGAGGGAGTCATCTTTTTTTCTCTGTCAATACAAGGCTTTTAGTCACATTGAATTGCAAGAAGGATCACTTCAGATATCCAGGGAGGCAGGGCTAGCAAGTAAATCAGCAGCCCAACTATTGCTTTTGGTCATGCAAAACATAGGGACCACAGCCAGACTCAATGGCCTCTAGTATGTATCTTCTAATGGATCTTTCTTGGTTTCACTCTCCTGAACCTCCTTAAGCCAATACTGTTTAAGCTGAACCTCTGCAAATGGACCAGTGAAGAGAAGATATGACAGAGGAAAATGAAATAATGGGGGACACGAGAAAAAGGACAAGAAAAATAAACCAGAATAAAAAACATTAAAAAGAGAGAAAACATGAACAAAAGAAGGTGGATGGGAAAAGATAGGGGGGAAAAAACCCAATCAATGGGGCAAAAATTGAAAAAAAAAGAGGAAATAACCTGGGCTAGCTGGCCCTGTGGCACAGCATAAGCCGTTTACCCATTTCAAAAGGATCCCCTGCAAAACAGTTGAGAGCCATCACTTTTCTATCCATGTTGGAACAGCTGCTTATCGTGCATACAGGTGTACGATAACTCCAAGTGCATCACTTTCAACAGGATATTTCTGTTTGGGGTGGCAACCACTTATTATGTTTAGACAAAGAAAGATCAAAGAAAATCTCATGCAGAATCTGCTGCATTCGCAAATGCCCCATGGTAGATCTCAAAGCAATGAAAAGACAGGATTCAACCTACTGTTCAGTGCCGTTCTCTTGTCTCTCTGGAAGAAGGAACAAAGTTAATATCATTTTGACTGCTGGAGCTCAGTTAGGTAAACATTTAGACATAGCTATTGCAGTTGTTAGCAGAAGGCTTAGTTGTGATTCTGCAGTATTGCATTAAGTACATTAAAACAATCAACCAGCTTGAATGGCAATTGGTACTTTTCTAGTTTGTCTTCCCAAAAAATAACCATGTCATCTATGAAAGTGAACTGATAGTGCTTGAATCTATACTTCTGCAAACTAGGGAGAATGATATGTGACTTGCACAAGAGCACAACTGAAGCGCATTTTTCCCTGCAGCTCCCAAATCCCCGGGTAGCTGGCACAGAGGCAGCGAGCATGCAACAGTTCTTGAGTACATAACAACTGAGCTAAAAGATGCAGGGTGAGGGGAGTGAGAGAACAAGCTGCCAGACTGTGTGCTCTGGGGAGGTTTAACCTGGCATGACATCTGAGAACAGAGTCTGTCATCCCTGCCAATGAGGAATGGGTTTCTCCCCAAAATGAATCATATACCAAACGTTATTTTATTCTTATGTGCAAGTACAGGCAGATGGATGGGGTTGTGGGGTTACATTGGAGACAACAGAGCCAATTCTAGCCCCATGGCTCTGGGCACAGGGCTCTCCATCTGTGGGGGAAGCACACTGGATAGACCTGAAAAAATCTTGCAGGAAGCACCACAGATATTTACCTACTCTAGCTTCCAAGTGAATTTGTTAGTACTGTGCCTGCCGGCATTTGTGCATGGGGGAGGATGGTGAGGAAATGTTCTTCACCTCATATCTTTACCTCTTGACTCTAATTATTCAGTAATTTCCTAAGCAAGGATCACACCTTCCTCTGTTTAACTGGGTCTGGTTTTCCATCTCATTGGCTAAATTGGTTGCGACACACTGTTTTCCTTGGTCTACAGCCTCAACACCCTGTTGTGATTTTATATTTCCAAGGCCTGGTGATTTCACAGTTGAAGCTCTGTACAGGTCTCCTAACTCATGCCAGCTTGCAGGGAGAGAAAAACCACAGTCTGGATTCAGATTTGGGTTTTCACTTAATGGAGAATTACACTTGCCTGTGGCCCACTCAGGCAACTCTTTGAAACATTTGGCAAATGGAATTTAATGGAATTATACCCCCCATTATCTTAAGTATTTCCTGGACAGCAGCAAAACAGATGCTGGCTTTAACTGATCTGTCAAAATTACTTTTTCTGAAAATACTGTTTGCTCAGGGATTTTGTGCCCATGTGCATTATACTGTAATTGGAAAATTTTACTTCTCTGTGTGTGTGTTTATGTTTATAACACGTATTTCCTAGAAGAAAGCACTGACATTTCTTTGCCTGTATCTGGAACAGAGATAAAATAAATATAGTGATTTTGTTAAACAATATCTCCAACTTAGTTTGCACTGTCTTTTTCTACCTGATTGACTGATTGTGTTAGCACAGCTGTTTGTAGCTGCAAAAGCGTGAACAAAAAGCTTTATGGCATTATATATTCTCCAAAAATCAGAGACATTTTTGCTCCCTCTGTTCTTCCTACTGATTTTGAAAATGAAGTGTTACTTTCCCACTTTAGGCAAAATACTTTGAAATACAGGAAGCTTTCCTATCAGACTACTGCAACATCTATGGTTAAGGTAATCTAAAACCACCCCAGAGATCTTTTAAAAGTGAAAAAGCACATTGATCTTTTTCCCCCCACAGAGAAAGCAAACCAAATACCTGGTGTTTTCTTCTGACACATTCTGTACAAAGCCACCAGTGAGAAGACAGAAAGGGTAATGACTATCAAGGTGATGACAATTGGCAAGATAACGCCTGCAAAAGAGGGAGAACATAGCATCAGTTTGGGGGCCAGTGTTGATGGCCCCCAAAGGTTTTGCAAAACAGTCATATTTCAGGAATAAATTTTTTGATATATGCGATTTTTTCTTCCTCTTTTTTGAAAACAAGACTCATCTGAAATTCAGCAACTGAAGCAATTATTTCTCTTTTAACGTTGTATGCCCAGAAAGACACCAAGGAGTTACATAATTCAGTAACATTCCCCGCAGCACTTACAACCAGGGATAGAAAATGCAAGATCTCCTTTTTAAATGAGGACATTTCTTTCCTTTTATTATTTCCCACCATCTGCCATTTCCTGACAGGTGTTTCCCAGCCAAGAAGCAAAAAGGAAAGAATTATGTAACGAAGAGAAGCTTTCCTGGGGAAATATATAAGCCCAGTTTCTCCCCATTTATCTTTTTTTTCTGGCAGCGATCGGCCACGTTCAAATTTAGCAGGCTCTCTCTTGCCTGCTGGCCTAAGCCTTGAGTCAGGGGTATGTTGCGGCTGCGTTCCCGCAGCCTTCCTCAGCATCAGCCATCACACCTGCCTGATATTTTGAAATAGCATCTTCAGTGCCTTTTGATGCAATTAATATTTAATATTCATATAGATGTATGTGTGCATCTATGGAACTAGAGGGAAAACCCAGAGACAAGATTATAGTGGAAAACACATCAAACGTATTTTGCTAAGACAGTACTTTGGGTAGGAAATAGCAGATCTGCAGCAACATTCTTGCCCTAGAGATGCATATATTAAAATAAAAGATTAAATAACATGTATCATACAAATATCAAGTGCTTGAAGTTTGCAGAAGAATCCCTCCTAGTCCTTCTTTCCCATGACAATATGAACAATATATATTAATATAACACATTCATAACAATATATTCATCTTATATGCACGCATAACAGTATATGAACAACATTTTCATATGGTTTCTTGCATCTTCTCCCACAGGGTACTCCTCTGTCCACATTTTTTCTCAGTTTTATCACTTTGACTTCAGTCCTTGGGAATAAATGTGCTGCTCTCCAGTGAGAGTGGTGTCAAGTTGTTCAGCTCCGTTTCTCTTTGAGAGGAATTTTATAACAGGCAGTTAAGTTGGGTTTGTAATAAGGTCTACGTCTGGTAAGACTAGAAATAAAACTGGCAGTTTCATTTCTCTGCTACTCCAATCACTCATCTAAAGCCAAACTGATCAACTAAAAATTCAAAAGCTGGACAATAAAGCAGGAACACTCACTGGAATAGTGGACAGCATTCACTGGCACTTCCTTGTTTCCAGAACCACCAAAAGCTAGATTTGCAAAAGAAACATTACCTTTCAGGTTAACGTGTAACTGCCAGTGCTCCCCAAACAACTCCCAGCAAAAAATTACCCTCCCAAAACAACTTCTACGTCCCCCCCACTTCTAGAGCCCTTTGGTGCTCCACAGCTATAGTTCTTCTCAAAAACATGTAGATAACTTGGCAAGAGGGGTGGAAAAGTTTATCTGGTGTGGCCTAGAAGAAACAGAGACTTTGCATGGGTGCAGTCTTCCCTAGGATCATCTGCTTGTTCACTTACAGGTTACAAGCTACAAACATTTTCATTTTTAGGAGGTTAATGTACTGTTCAACATTAGAAGAGCTCTCTTGACAAGTAAACAAACAAGCAAGAGAGTGAAAATTAGACCTGCCTCCAGAAGATGGAAGACCAAAATTTTTCACTGCTAATTAAAAAAAAGTGCTAAGAGTAGATGAAGAAGTCTAAAGAGGTGCATTATTAGTGGCTAGTGATTTTCTTGACAGTTGACTGTTCTAAAGGGATGCACATGCTCTCTATGGCACATTTGGCGACAGCAATGACTGTTGGGAGCTGCTGGGCATTTTTAGGGCAGGGTTTAAAGGAATGCATTTCTACTTTCAGGTACTAATCTGAATTTGAGTCAGCTATCAACAACCTAAGATATTTATTACCTTGTTGCATACAGTCTGTGGAAAAACAGTTGCTGAACTTCAAGAGAGAAAAAAAGAAAAAGCAAACATAGGTGCTTCCCTAGTTACATTATACAGCACACAGGATTGTGTTCCGTATTGGATGGAGGCTTGAGCGGATGTGTGCTTACTGCCACTGAAGAAGCAGACCAGCTGGACAAACAGATAGCTGGATGCCTAGCATCGAAGTTGTAACGCAAGGCCGAGCGTTTCCATTGCTCATTTAAGTATCAGAAAAGGCGCCTGGGGAAGGTGGTCTGTTAAGCCAGGGGCCTAGTAGAGAGTGTAGCTCTGTATATAAGTAGTGAGAACACAGTAGCAGCCACTGAGGCTCTGTTGCAGGCTCTGATCCATTGCTCAGGTACCCATTCATACCCCACACACCTGGTAGGGATGCACAGAAGGCGGCTCAACTTGATGGGTAGTAACTACAAAAGTAGTCAGGTCATTAAAACCAATTTCCCAGGGGCATTTTGAGGGCTAGGATACAGTTTTGTTCTGCCAAGTCTCTGAATGATAGGTCCATCTTTTTTTTTTTTACACATGGATTTTTTACTTTTTTGTATAGGCAGTACATGTAATTCTAGTTTGCTGAATTAGACTAACAAACAAGGTGTGTTTGTCCCAACCCTGTAGGGGTTCCTTGCTGCACTGATTTTAAAAACTCTGGCCCACCATTGACAAATGTTTTGGTGGCTGTTTTTTCTTCTCTATTCTCCTTTTGCCCATATTCCAGTTCTCACAACATACTGGTCTGTTCAGATACGTAAGAGTATGTTGTCTCCTGATGCAAGAGGAGTAAAGCAGGCAACAGCCAGGGGTCAGTTTCTCCACAGGTTTGCTGGATATGCCAGTATACTGGATTTTCCAGGTAACTAGGAGCCATGTGGTCCTACTTAAACATTTCTGTGGATTGACTGGTAGTGCAAAGGGAAAGATTTGAGAGCTGTGTTTTCATTTTTGTCCTGCTGTTGTATAGCTGTGTGAATTTAGGGCATATTATTTAGCTTCTCTGTTTCTTCCCTCCTCCCTCCCCTCCTCCCCCCCTTTGTCTGGCCAGATACTGAAACCTCCTGGGGAAAAATGATCACTTACTATGTGCTTGCATGGTGCCTAAACAATACAGCCACAGCTGAGACATTGTGATGCCACAGTGTAGGAAACAATCATTGTCTGAGACCCTTAACTCTGAAAAATCACTGTTTCTTTAAAGCAGAAGTTCTCTCTCCGTGGTGCCTGTCTGCTGAGGGGTGATAATGTAAGGATGGAAACTGTGAGCCATCATCAAGTGACTGAAATAATTCTTATGAATTCGTAATTCCATGTGATTGCTTTAGATTTCCTAGGGAAATACTACTGCCCTTTTCACTACCTTGCCTGATTTACTGCACGATATACAGGGCAAGTGGGCAATTATCAAAGCAATGAGTTATCCTGGATAGTGACTGAAAAAGTCAACTAAACAAATTACACTGAAAAACATGAATGTGTATCCCTGCATTTGTGCAGCATCTCCTCAGGAGAAAAACTGAGGATTCAAGTTCACTGGTTATTTTCCTAGTTCTCTGTTAAATAACCAAGGTGTGAGTAATGCAGGAAAGATGAATCCATAGGTTAGCATTTTAACTACTCGAGACCATCAGTGAGAAATAGAGTAGCTAAAAAGAAGCACTACTGAATGGATAAAATGGATTAAGGAATTAAAACCTTTAACTCTGTTATCTACTTCATTCATTGAAGTTTCTCGCAAGCCAGCCCATCACGTCTATTTTTTCTGGGTTTGGAAAGTGAATCTGGAAGATATTTTCTAGCTATAGAATGATCTGGGATCAGAATAACAATTGGAATAATACATCCATCATGGTAATAGCAAGGACAAACTTTGGCTGGCATCAGTAGCAAGAACAGCAGGGACCAGTGCAGAAGAGACTGTTTCCTGATAAGCCCAGAGAAAGGAAAGTAGGACAATACAGGCTCACTAGCACAGGAAACTCTTGCCTTACTCTGGGACCTACTGCTTCTAACCACAGGACGGGGAATGAGAGCCACTGACAAGAACAAGCTCCTTGGTAAACACTCTATTTATAGCAACGTCCCATTGCATCACGCTATACGCCAGGGCTGATTTTTTTTTGCGCTCCCACTCTGTTTTCTTTTCAGTATCTGCTAGCCCAACATGGCATTCAGCTGAAATCACAGCAAAGTTACTCATTGCTACAAGTTGAGCATCACTCCTCTGCTCTCCGTACTACGCTTCAGGTTCATTCTTCCCCCAGAGCCGCATTGTTCCCTGAAGGTTTCCTTTCCTCAGGCGCCAACCCCCTCCCCCCCCGCCCCCATGCCAGCCCTTTTTGCCAGTGTGCACAGAGCTCTTACTTGTCGATTCTGTTGGAGAGGTCATGTGAAGACCTGCAAGAAAACAGAAGAAACAGGTTTGTTAGTAACTGTTTTAAGGTTGGATGTCCAGAGTCTCCACATCATACCAACCGGCAGACTCTAGCAACGTGCTCAGTAACCCCACAAGAAATGCTGACCCAGAACTGACATGCTGACACTGTTCTCAAGCCCAGAAAGCCCGAGCTGTGAAAGTCTGCAGACATCCCTTATAGATGGGAGCAGAATCCAAAGCACAGCTTATGCTGGGTTGTTATTCTGCTTAAGAGAAGAAAATCCTGAATTAATTGATACATTCCTAAGAAATTCCTCCTGCCAAAACCAAATAAGTGCCTGGGAGTGAATAGCTGGCATTTAACTGACAAATAAGAATTTTAATAAAAGAACCTCAAATGCCTAATTGAGACGTCTTCAAGTGTCACAAAACCCTTTAAAAATGAATCTTCATTAATTATCTTGATGTTTCTGGCTAGCAGACTGCTGAGCAGCAGGAGTAAGAGGCATTGGTAATGAAGAAGAAATGGACCTTGCAGAGTGCTCTGAACAATGCTTACTAGCCCACTACTGTCGGCTTCCCCCGGCCACTTCGGAAGTTTTTGGTGCAGAACACTAATTTTCTGTTAGCTTGTTGTTAGTATGCTGCTGCTTTTGTGTGTCTAGACTGTAGCATGCTTGGAAATTAAGGCGGCTGTGAATACTTCACATTTGGAGGCTAGCCACAGACAACCATTGCTCCCACAGTGATTTTTTATTACATTGCATTAAATCTCTTTTGCGATCACTCTAAAGTCAGAGGGAGCCGGGCACCTAACTCGTCCGTGTCTTTGAGAATATCCACCTGTGTGAACTAGCAGTAAAACATTTATCTATTTGCACAAGACAGACTGTCTCTTGCCAGGGGTGAGTGACTGGCACTCTGCCTGTCTGGTGAGGCCTCTCACACTGGATTACAGGAGCTACCATGGAAAAAAAAAATCCCTCAGGCACTATATCCTCAGCAGTCGCTCGTTATTTTGAGGTATAAATCACAGCGTTTGGTTACCTTCCTCTAGGCTGGAGGGCACCGTAAAAGCCCCCTCATTGGGTCTCTTCAGGGTTCACTGCTGCCACAGCATCTGTGGGGAACGTGGTGAATCTGACCCTGTCCCAAGAGCTCCCTGGGAGGACGTGACCCACCAGCACATCCTCTGTGTCCCAGCTGCGCCAGGCTGGGAGGTCACAGCAGGAGTGGTATGAAGGCAGACGTAACTCCAGGCAGGCACTGAGCCTCCCCTGAGTGCTCGGGGTTACAGCACTCCCCCTCTGACCGGGGTCCCTGGGGATTACAAATCCACTCTTACACCCTCGCTGCACTTTCTGTGCCGTGGACTGATGCTTTGCACAAAGACAGCTCCTGCCACTGGAGCTGTATCACAAGTGAAGCACGTTATTCTACTGCTGTGAATGTACTCTTTGTAAACCAGAATGGCTGCTCTTGCTTTGCCTCCTCTCTACACCCAATTAAAAGTATGGATCACTTGAGCCACTGGGGTGTAAATAACCACTTTTGCTAATGATGTATGTGACAGAGCTTTAACTGCATTTTAATCACAAACATGCATGAAAAGCATGTTCAGGTTGAAAAGCCAAGTACTTAAAAGTCAGTACTAAGAGCTCTTCTTGAACATGCTAAATATTAGTAGTGCTAAGTACTCTGAAGGTATACAATTATCTCACCCTGGCTTCCCAGGATCCAGAGGAAACTTTTTTCCTAAGCTTTTTATCATCTCACCCATCCATCTGCAAAAAACAGTGTCACCTGGCATAGGACGGTGGTTTGATTTGAAAAATACCTGCCTGAGTCAGTTCAGTGCTGGTTAGAAGCTTGACAGATGGAGAAAGAGACCAATAACTAACCTCTCCCCGCTCTGTTCATCAGCAACCACTACCTAAGCAGCCTGGATACCCTGCAGTTTGCTGCTTCTGTTTTTGGAGGGCAGCCACATGAAACTGTGTTCACTGGCAAAATACATGAATAAATTTGGCTGATTACTCAGAGGGGATACCACAATATAAATCAAAGCAAAATTAAGAACTTTTAAAAACCCTCCTTGCCCTGACCATGCTAAAGGTCTGTAGTTCTGTTAACTCAGACTTTGCTATATTTTCTGTCTCCCAGGCACTTGGATTTTTGCATCTCTCTCTTTTTAAGTAAGCTGAAGATACAGGGGGTAATTTTTAACTAATATCACTATCTAGAGTTTCTACACAGCTTGCGTACAGAAAGAGTCAAACCATCCTTGTCTTACTCATAAGAATTTTTCTTCGGGAGATGCCTCCTCTGAATCAAGCGAGTAGGATTTATAATTGGAGGAGTGCAATAAAGATATCAATAGATGCAGCAGGTTGATTCATCTGACGGTTTATTATAATAGGTCATTTGATCTTACCACCCTGCTGGGTGAACTTAAGTTCATACTGCTTTATGGATTTTTTTGTTGTTTAGGTCGCAGAATAAAAATCTACAAAAATCTCAGATGTATTTAGACTCTGACTGATCCATTAAGTCTCCAATTTTTCATTAATTAAACAAAAGGAGAAAATTAAATATTAGCAGGCAATCCTCCGTGGAGGTGGAGAATGAGTAGGAGGTATATAATACATGACAGCCAAAGTTAAAGTTAAAGAAGTGTATGTGTCAGTGGCATGCATGCAGGTTGCTCTCTTTGCTAAAAACAGTCCCTGTTGCCTTCGCTAGCCTGGGTGAGCGCTATGGAGCCCCTCCTCTGTGGCTTGTGGTTTCGATCTTCTTTAATACGGCAATACTGTTCTCTGATGTTTCTCCAAGTTCTTTCCTAGGCTCCCCCACTCATTTCAGTCGCTCTCCAGCTCTCTGTGGCACTCCTCCCACACCCTGATCTTTTGATATGGCTGATTGGAAATTTCTCTTCAAAATGGGCTTTTTTCTTTTTTTCTGCAGCAAGAAAGGAAGTTTTCACCAAAATGGCATTATTTTTAAAATGGAAAATGGTCTCAAAACTAAATATATTCTTTTGCATCGAGGTTAGCCAGCTGAATTATTTTGGTTGAGCATACCAAATAGAAACATTCTGGTTTGGATCAATTTCACATTAATTTGTCTTCCCCTGAGCTCCCACGCAGAAGCTGTGGCTTGGGTGCCTTCAGCTTGCAAGCTCTGCTATCCCCTATGGGCTGCAGCACCAGCCCTGTTGCACATACCAGCCTCTGCTCTGGTGAACAAAACATACCCAGCGCCTACAGAAGCCCTGAATGTGAAATTTCAAAGAGCTGGGAAGAAATAATCTAATGGCAGTGAGAGAGTGAGCATTTCTTCTAGTCTCAGCACAAAATGAAACAACTGGCTTCACACTTGCATTACTTTAAAAGTTATTAGAGTGCAGTATATGGCTTCTCTTGGCCCTGAGCAATTGCACGTAGGAGAAGAAATCTATTTAGAGGGAACCAAAACATTTTTCTTAAAGTCTTTAACGTACACAGAGAATAAGGGAGCAAGGGTGGTCTGAAGGTGCACCCATTTGGGATAAGCTACCTAACTCATCAGGGTAAGTAGTGGGATTTCTTGCATATTTAATCTGCAAGAAAGAAGTGAGGAGCTGGTGCTGTGAGGAGACAGGAAAGGTATAAGTGTGGAAATCCTGGTGTGGGAGGAAGCGGTTTTGAAATGGCAGTTTTATGGGAACTCAGAGTACTGGCTATGCCAAGCACCTAGACCAACTCCTCCTGGACAGATGGGCCCTTTCTTTCTCAGCCAGGCAATTATAGTCCTGGCACCTTGGGTAGGCCCCGAGCTCAAGAAGATTTATTGGTTTTACAGCAAAGTGAGCTGAGTAAGATGATGACTTTCGTAAACAGACCCAAGGAAGGTTGTAAAACTTTCTGGGCAAATTTTACATGTAAAATCTAATTGTACAAACAATGTAATAGGCAATTCAATATAGGTGATCCATAGCCAGATATGTATTACAATTTAATTTTAACCTGGAGAATTTACCTGTGTGAGAGAACCTTTAATTAAAAACATTGTAATCTACTGCTTTATTGCAGTGTACCAATGGTAAGGTTTCCATACCATGCATGTGTCTGCCAAAAGACACAAAACCTAACAGGATAATCAAGTAACTACAGCTCACAATATATGCATTATGGGGCACAGGCTCATTGAAATAATTGCAAAGAATCCTCTCTAAGTCAGTGGCCTTGGTTTAAAAAGAAAAAAATCCCAGCTTCCTTAAAATGCTTATTATAATATCTTTTTGCATACTTCTAAGTGTTTCAGTGTGTACTGAGCATATGATATTATTCCACTTCTATATCCAATCCTTTCCTCTATGAGGAAAAAAAAAAATCACAGTACACGCGCATGCTTATCTCCTACAAACACAATCCAGAGACTGTAAAAAGTCATGTATCCCTTAGGGGATGTTAAACATTAATAATAATTGGGATATGCAAACAAAGTCAGTGTCCTTATTGGATTTACACATATGTAGCTGAAAGTAAGTATTGAGTGAAGTGAAGGCTCAAGAGACCTTAAGAAAACCTGAATAAGCGGTTCTTCAAAATCTAGGAAAGTTAAGCCAGCTAGAAGCATAATAAATGATCACTCATATGACCTGGCATCTACGTTCAGCACAGTGTTTGTTTATTGGATAAATACACCAAACACACCCAGAAAAACAGTAAAACTAGTGTGCAGTTGGGAAGGATGAATATCTTTTTAACCCTGCATGTTGTACTTTGAACAATGTCATTTAATAGGTAATATGCATTAACTTTCCCTCCAGATTTATTAACAATTGTAAAAATTATAGCTGTTTTCTCCCTTGCCCCCTTTGCTTTGCAGCCAGAGAATTTATCTTGATGACCTCCTCTGGCAGTCAATGCTACACGATGACCACATACAGCATACATAAAGACTGCTATTATCTTTTGTAATTTTTATCCACTTGTAATGACATGGCATATCCTGACTGCATATTTTGATGTTCACCCATCACTCAGCATAACTTCATAGCTAGATGACATGGACACAGCGTACCCAGTGTGAATAAAGAGGTGGCCCTGATTCCACGACAATGCACAACAAATAAAGAAGAGATTTGAAATTATTTGCATCTTTTTAACTATTTGTATAGGAAAACAGAGTGTACGTTTTCAAGACTTACTTGTGGTTCCAAGAGCAGAAGTGGTTTTTTGTAGAGAGACTGTAGAAGAAAATGATGATGCTTTAGTAGATGAAGCATCCAAACTCTCATTTTGTGCCAATTGTGTTCCATTTGTTTGTGTAGCTGGAAATGAGACAGAAGTTCAGGTAAGATACACCTGTGTAATCATTGTCTTAGATGCTGGACCATCCCTCAGACAAATGCTCCCACCATCATAGAAAAGACTTAAGGTCAGAAAGCACTACAGCTTCTGGTCTGCTTGTCAAGTGATGAACCATCCCTATGGAGTTGTTACTACTGGTATAGTTGAGGCATCTTTAAAGCACATCCTAGCATCAGGAACAGTCTCACATCTGTGCCAGAAGTCATCCTAGAGCTCTGATTTGGGAGACCCAAATAACTAGACGGTCTTGCACCAAGAGCCATGTGAGCTGAAGAGAGAAGATTGCTTACTGCCCTCTTATCTTTAACCTTCATTCAAAAAAAAAATTTTAAAAAAAGCAAGCTTCAGCCACAACTGTCACATAATGTGATATTGTAAAAAGTTCTAGGGATTGTAATTAAACGCAGAGTTAATTATTTCATTCTGTGCTGTTAAGGCCTAGGAAACAATATATCCCTGAAAATTAATGTATGAAAAATTAAATTGTCTTATTTCTGCTCTCTCACAGTCAACAGAGGATCAGGGCCATCTGTGTCAAAAGATTTGCAGCCTAAGGTGAGTCCAAGATGCTGGGGCAGGGCACCACCTCAGCCCATGGAACTGAAGGTCACTAAATGACAGAAAACAATTTAAGCTGCTCCAGCACAGCTGATAATTCCTATGTCTACATTCAAACCTCAGCATAACAACAGGCAAGACAGTGCTTGCTGAATAAAACATCGGAGTGCCCAAGAGTAACCTTATACTTCCTTTCTGAGATAAAACAGAGATGCGACTGAGCTGTAAACTGTTTTCAGTGCCTCTTCAGATGAATTTCAAACACTGGAACTAAAACAACTTTAAGACACGTTTTAGTCAAATGAGTGCAATATCATGCAAATGCAACACATGAATCTTGAGGAATGCTTCATCCCACGCTTTATGCAGAAACTCTGATTATCAGTTTGGCCCCTCAAGGAACTCTTTTCTCAGAAAAAAACCCCTAACACCCAAAAGTCCCTATTCTACCACCACACACCTTTAACTTGGCCTGGTCTTTCCCTCCCCTTCTTGTTTATTAAGTGCAATGCCTTGGAGAGGCAAGCTTCAAAAATCAATGAGCTAAGAAAAAGTGAACTGAAGCCACTGGAGTCAGGGGATTTACAGCTTTGGAAACTGTGAGGAGCTGGACAGCCAGGGATGGTATCTTTGAAGGTCGAGGCATGGAAGGAAACCATACTGAAAATTATGCAAAACAAGCTTAAATGCCTAAAACTTTCACTGGGATTCTAGTGATGAGAAGTATAATTGAACTGTCAGCTGCCTCCAAAACCTCAGCATTGTACCCCTTCAATACACAAGCCTAATCTGCTCTAGAGGTGAGTGTAAAAAGCCCCTCTACCTCATTTTTTTACTATGGTATAATGCAAAGATCTGAGAACTCTAATAATTCCTGCATTCTCTTCATAGAAGCCTTGAATGAATCTTTAAAAGCAAACTTTTCCCACTTTTTGTTCTTACTGTAGTTGCTTCAGACTCAAATTTTAAATGTTGAGTTTTAATCAGAGATGAATTTTAAAAAAAAGCAAAAAACCCAGAGAACCTCCCTCTTCCTTGAAGATGCATGGGCTTGTAACAGTAACAGCGACCATCTTGTGGCTCCCTTATCATGAGTTAGTAAAAGCTTGCATGGGAGAATGAAAAGTAAGGCAGAATAACAGTAAACCTTCATGTGCAGACATTCCAGCACAAATGCACTTTGAGAACACTGCAAAACAATCAGGTGTGTGGGAGAGATGAGGAGGGAGGCAGGCAGTTGCCTTGTAACCCCACAGAGAGCTGTTTTCCCATGGGGATCGCACATTCCAGGCGTCCTATCAGTCCTGGCAGCAGCCCAGCCCTGGGTGCTCCTCTTGTGTTTGGGAGCTGTGAGAACGGATTGTTCTCAGGAACATGGGCTGTGCGCTGGATATGCCTCAGCGGGGGATTAGGAGGGGAGGGATGATAGCGTTTCCATTTAATTTTTTTTTTAATTCAGCCTGGGTGAGATTCTTCCTGAGACTTGGGTTGCAGCAGGTATGACTCTCATCTTTATCTAGGGCTTGGCATGAAGCTTGTTGCATTTATTTTGGCAGACTGCAGAACAGGCTTCCTGCTCCTGATGTCAAGGGATGAAGTAGACACGCTATGGTGCAAAAATTTATGTGCCAGTTTTCACCACTTCCAAGACAAAAAACGCAACCTGGCAGGGAAGGTTCCATTAATTCCACTGTACTACTGTAAGATTAAATCCTAGCAACCCAATTCTCTGCTGACTTGTGGTTTTGAAGTGGCTTTGAGGCAGCATCCAAGCCTTACGCCTAATATGCAGCATAGGCTGCACTATCAACACAGTTAGCAGATCGAACAGCTTCTGTGCTAAAAGCCTATGGGAACAGAAGCATCCATATCCAGCTACTGCTCACGTATGCGACAGCAGCACTGACAGCACAGCACGCCTGCTAGAAATCTGCTTTTTTTTTGGTAAATCCCATAACTCATATCTATTCAAGGTTGAGTTTGATCTCAACAGGAGGAGACAGCACAAGTCCCCTCACTGCAGTGCCCGTGCTCTGCGCGGGCACAGGCGGGGGACTCTGCGCGGGCACACGGTGACTCAGTTCTGCCGTCCCCACTGACACATCGCTGCAGTAATTCATCACGCTTCGGCTCAGCCAGCTGCAGCAAAGATTTCTGCCTGCCTGGCAGGGGGAGGCCTGGGCTCGCAGAAAAGCAGCACAGCAGAGGAGGGCGGCTGCTGCTGCTGCAAAAGCACTCACATCATCAGTTAATGGGTTTGTTGTCAACAGCTGATTATGAATAAAAATGGTAAGGCAGTAAAGATTGTAAAATAGCTGTCCGAATGGGGCTGATTGCTGCAGCGGCAGAACTCCCTGGTGGTGATGCAGCTCTCCCTGCTGATATTTTGATAAGATAAATGACAGTGTGTTAACATGTATTTGTCAAAGGGATAATCAACAACAGGGAACCTGAAGCTGCTCTGCAAAGCTGCTGTCTGAGCCTCAGGTATTTCCTTACTCTCTGTGCTCTGAAAACCCTTCATTTTCTTTAATCAGCTGAAATTCGACACATATCCTCGCTTAAGCTTAGCATGATTTTCTACTTAACCTACCCATAATCCACATATATTTTGGCATTTCCCAACAGTATTTTAAATTTTCTTTATGGCAGGCTGTTACCTAACTAGCTCTGACATCACCAGATGCTTCAAGTAAGCGGCAAATACTCTGCATATACTCTATGCACCGTGAAGAATATAGACACCCGTACATGTGTTAAAACCTTACTTGGCCAACCAATGAATCAAGGAAACACCTTTCCAGGGCAGAAGGAACTACACCCAAACCACATTAAAATGTCTGCACGAAGGCCTTGTAAGATGAAAGGCTAAACCTTCTCCCTTGAGCTCGTATCTTTAGCACAAACACACATATAGGCCTCACCCCTGTAATCAATAGCCTGAGAAACCATTTGCATTAACAATGCATTCATGAAAGCTTTGAAAAATCCCAGTGTAGCAAAACCAATGCAACTTCACACCCATTCAGAGGAATGGAAATTGGCTAGGGAGGTAACCAAGCAGATCTCCGTTTCAATATTTACAGCCATAGCGGATTGCATCTGCTGTCTGCCAGCTTTACATTTTCTGGTAAGCAAAAAACCTGAACTACTTCAAAAATATATGTTTTAAAACATCTCTCTGCCTAACATGTCTCAGCAGCCAACTATACTCAGTGTTTACCTATAGCACGCAGTAACAACCTGAGGACAATTGAGTAATACAGGTTACCATAATCCTCTTCCAGCAGTTTTACCGAAGTAAAGCTTCCTTTTTAATTATGAGCAGTTTGATAAAAAGAGAAAAAGTATCTTCTCCACTCCTTCTTTTTCTCACTTTTTAATATTTAATATTTCATTGCACCATGGTGTATCATCATCCAGGAGAGTAGCATGAGATAAATTAGAAATACAACACCCCAAGATCCACTCTTACTTGTAATTTAATACCTTGAGTGCTGACCTTGCATAAGATGCTTGCTCCATATCCAAGGGAGAATGAACATAATCTTTTGTTGCATTTAATTTCTTATTCTCCTTGATAAATCCAAGTGTCCCAGAATATGAAATCCTGATTGCAGATGCAACTTGCTGTTGTGTGGCAGTTGCTGTTGTGTGGCACAACATTGTTTTGAGGCCTGGACAGTGCAAGTGAGGTCACTCTTTTGACTAACTGTGAGCTATTGGATTTGACCCCTTATATTAATAAATAATAAGGTTAAGGAGACAAGTCTAATGGCTGGCCTCCAATAAAATAAACAGGGCAGGAGGGCAAAGAAGGAAGATTGTACTTATGGCCTGCAGAGCAAAAGAATACTGAAGACTTAAAAAAAAGTCTAAGTCGTTTGCATGATTTCACAGCATGTGGAGCACTGGGGGCTTTTCCTGAACTTATAATGAAAGGTGACAGCAGCCACAGAAATTGCAGCATAGCCAGGAAGCCCTGTCAAATCTCTGCTGTGTGAATATGATCATTCACTGAAGCTTTTAGCAGGGATTGAAGCAGAGAAAGTGATGGCTTCCATTACAAAACAACAGAGGGACCTGCTTTTTATTAACAATCAGGTGTAATAAAGGTAAATTTTGAGTGTCATAAAGGCCTCTATCCCATATGGCCAGCCCAAAAAGGGGGAGGAGTGCTGATGAAAAAGAAAAAGAGAGAGTAGACAACTTTCTTCTCCAGTCTGTTTTGAGAGCAGAAGACTTGCTACACCTGTGCTATGCCTGTGCTGCTGTTGGAGATGCTGGCAAGGGGCTGGGACGGTGTAGTGGAGCCAACAGCACTCAGTGTGCCAACGCATGGGGTGGAAACAGAGAGATGGCTGTAGCCAGCAGCCAGAAGGTGGTTGAGGGGTCTGTGTTTTCTACAAGGGCTGGCCACACATCTGCACAGCCTCTGTGCCCTGTCCCAAAGATACTACCCTGTGTCCCATCCCACCTCTTTGTGCTGAAGTCAAGGCTATGACTTTCTTGAAAGGTAGACCAGAATATTGTCTTTAAAAAATGCTAAAATTGGTTTTCACATACATGGTTTTCCAAAATACTAGTTAGCGTTAAAAGAAAATATAAAGTCTTTTAATGCAGGGCAGTTCCCAATGCTTTCTTTAATTTTCCTTTTTACAAAGGGGAGTGAGAGGCAGGTAAGCCCTGTTTTTAGGTTCATTTAGCAATCATTTTTATCACAAGTTGTTTTTTTTTTTAGCTTGAATGCGGATTTTTAAAAACAAATCACAACCCAGGCAACAAGGAACTGAACTCTAGCTGGTGGGAGAACACAGGAGGACTAGAAAGGAGGTGCGTTGGTGAAAACTTCACGCCCAGGCTTGTTGTACCTCCAGCACCAGTTTTTTTGGGCATTAGTGCAGAGCAGTGGCCAGAGCTAAGCTGCACTGGCAGGTATGCCTTTGCTTGTTAGCTTTCCTTTCCCTGCTGGGAGCTCTACCTGTCACCAAGGTTTATTTCCAGGTGCTGCTCCCGTGCCTACAAGCCAGGAACCTCTGCCAAGCTGAAAGGACCAGGAATCACATCTGTGATACAATGCACCATACCACGGGCTTTTCACAGGCCCACTGGGTCACAAATGCAAGCTTGAAAAGATTCTTTGTGGCCTTTGGTGTCACTTCAGCAGCTTGTGCATTGGCCAGACTCTGTCCTGTGACTCACCAATACCGGCATTTAAAAGCCAAGCCAAACCACAAAAGACTTTGGGCTGATAATCAGACTACTCCCCCCACCACACACAGTGGGAAACCCGCATCAGTAGAAGATGTAACCTCTAAGTGAAAGGGTAATTGCTCTCCAGGCAGCTTAGCAGGCTCAGTTCCACAAGGGGTAGCTTTGAAGCAGAATTTGCACAGAGAAAGCAGGAGTCGCTGTTTAGGCAAGGAAACCGAGGGAAGAGAAGTCAAGTTCTAATAATATGTCACAGTTCAGTATGCTCACAATATCAACTCTGAGAACATTGGTGAACCCCTGACTGCTGAGTTAAATATCTGGAGTATTTCTTTCTAATTTTTTGAGTCAATTAAGTATAAAAATTTGAGTATTTCAAAGCTCTGGTTCAGCAAAAGACTTGAGCAAACATTTACAGTGTAGTTCATAGACATAAAAGGGAGACTGAATTTCATTTTAAGTTTACTGAGCTCCTTTTGGATATTGTACTTGCTTAAATTAATCCCACTACTTGCTGGATACATTTTTTTTTGTAAAAATTTTCTTTTTCCAGAATGCAATCTGATGTCCTGGGCCAACACACAGGTTATTCTGAAGATTTATGGGGAACAAAATTATTTCCTAAGATTGATAGGGGGTAACTAGTACCACACCACTCTGCTTTCAGTACTGTGACCCATAATAATATAGAACATAATTAACCGTAGCATTATAACATATATAAAAATAAAAACAAAGGGGGCTGTTCTGTCACCACTCTGATCACATAGAATAATTTACTTTTGATGCAATACTTATTAAAAAAACCCACAGAAGAAAATAAAAAACAAACCTCCTTCGAAATACATCTCTCCCAAATACAGGGAGATTCAAATCCTGTGTAATGGCTTCAGATCACCTCCACTACAAATTAGAGGTATAATATTCTTTGTGTAAGATTCTAGGGCAAGATTTATTCAAGATATGTGTTATGGTAGGATGAATAGCTCTGCTTCCCCAAACCTCCAAATCCATAACCCAAACTACTCTTTTTGACCTCCTTTTATTGTTCCACAATTGTTTTACAGAAATGTAGCACACAATAACTCAGAAATCTCTCAGTGAAATTATCACTTACTGGTTGTTGTGTAGCCAGTTTTATTTGCTGCTGTAGTGGTCACTTTTATTGATGGCTGTGTCGTTGTACCTTGTGTTACTTGTTGTGTAGTACTAGGTGAAGAAGACGTGAAGTCTAATAAAGGAATGACATTTAAATTAATTTCCTCAATTTTGTATACACACACATGCACACACACGAAACACACCTATTACCCTGCTTGCAGGCTAGTCTTAAATTATGAGGAAAAAAAAATTATTTAAATTGAAGATCAACAGGGACAGTGCTCCCTTTGCTGCCGAGTAAGTCACTCCCTGTCCCATAGGTGGGTCATCCCATTGATAACAAGCCTATGATAATGCAGTTACAAGACCTGGCTTGGAGCTGCCTTGAGCCTGTCCAGGACAAAGCTCCTGCACACACCTGCAAGATTTCACCAGAGTCCACTATCTGTAAAACAAATTCTCAAGCCAAGAGGCACTGCTGCTTTATTTCCTGAATGACCACTGGAACAGCATCAACAATTAGCTTAAAGAAACTTTCACTTACTGCTTGTGATGGATTCATTTGTAGCTCTGATTGCAGTTGTTGTCAGCACTGGCAGTTGAAATGTTGTTGCTTGTGAAGCTGATGTGTTCACAGCTTCCGTTACTGCAAGAAAGGCATTCACATCTTTATTGATTTATTTTATCATGCAGAAATATGCATCACAAACCTCTAGCTGCCTTCTCCCACAAAGGCAGTGAATTTCTGTTTACAGTCTGGTCCTTAAAGAGCTTTCTTACCCACACATTTTTAAAGACGATTCAAAGTGCATGTGGTTGGTATCAGAGGGAAAGATTGGCCTGTGAGCAATCCACAAGTTGGCCACTGAAAGTTAGCAGCCGTAGCTTCCAGCCATCCTCTAAGGAAGAGACACACGCCCTTTTGGAGTTATACAGAGGTGCTTGGCATGACTGCCAAGGGAAGAGATGAGGGGAAAAGAGCCTGATATGGATGGATGGATGAGTTTACTGTGCTGCCGGACTGGATTGCTGACTAGCGCTTTGCTGCATGCCTGTTTAATAGGAGAAGGGATGTAAACTTCCCAGAAAGAAGTGTGAGTGACACATGGGAACACAGGCTATATATTACAGGTAAAGAACTGAAGGGGAAGAGATTCTAATAGTCTTTGTGCAATTTTTTCTTCTTCTCTCTGTTGCCCACCTTGAGCCCCAGTTGAGTCATCTTCTCTGGCTAGCTTTCCCAGACCATCTTCCTCTGCACACAGATTTCTGGGGAAAAAGAACACCTAGCAGGCCTTCCTCTGAGGTGTGCAGCAAAGCTTCAAATATCTTGGATGAGATGAATAAGTGATATGTGAACTTGATGCCCTTTGTAAGGTGGCTCCTGGCAGTTCCCTTCTCCAGATGGGTGAGATTTGGAGGCTGAGGGGAGGGGAAAGGGCTCCCTTGGGCAGCAGAGATCACTTCCAGCTACTGCTGGTATGGAAAAAGGGGAGCAGAGTTGCCCAAACATCACTAAGGCAATAGCAAGGTTTAAATCAGTGTGATTTGCTGTGTATGGATGGCATACTGCAGGTCCTATGTGCCCCTGGCACATGCTCAATGGAACAGACTGGCCAGATGGCTGCTGAGGGATCTGGGCTAAAAAACCCATAACTAATCATTTTAAGAGCCCAGTTTTCAGTTCTGTAATCTAATACAAACAGAGAGTGCTACTGTCAGCTGCAGAGGCTCATTTCAATCTCTGACAACAACCCAACATGTGTCCTACTACCTCTTCTAGCACTTTTCATGGATGGGAAACATGACAGAATAGGAACAAATCATGACATGACATATCATTTTCCATCATATGACTTGAGTACTTCTAAATGCAATGTTCACACCAGAACTTTTAAAATACAACTTATACTCTCTTCCTCCGCTCTCAGTTTGCTGGCTGTTCACCTAGAATAGCAGTGCCTCAAAGAATGGACCTCCTTGGGAGCTTTCTCTACACCCACAAAGTGCTTTAATCTCATAGTGAGCTTCAGATGCTTTTTTCATAGGCATAAATAACAATACTGCTTTCCCTTCTGTGACAAAAAGCTGCAAGAGAAATTTCAGTGAAATATTTGAAGAGCTCATTCACTGTGAGGTGTTGGGCCTTTATTAAATATCTTTGAAACAGCCATGAACATCAGGGGTTTTGAAGCATAAAAGAACACAGCACAATTTGAAAGGGACTAATTGTTTGGCTGTAATAAACATAACATATGCATACTTCACCTGGCTGCATCTTATTCATCTCCATTACTAGCACTTTAAGTGTATACATCATTATCATCTCAGCGCTTTCAGCTGCAAAACAGACTCATTATTATCTCTAGTTATCAAAAAATATAATCCTGTGTTCAAGCTTTCTTCTCTCATCGGTTATTAAAGGCAGCAGTCTTCAATAGTCAAACTAATAGAGGAGTCGATATTTAGCTCACATGAATGAAATACGGTCAATATTGATTTTTCATAGCTACAAAGCTACAAAATAAAGAGAACTGAATGTGTCAGTTGAAGATGTAAACCAGGATCACAGACTTTTACCATATGAAGCAGATATTTTCTATTAAGTCTTCAAAGTTTTAGGACCTCAAGTTTGATCTAGTAAAAACAATCACAAACAAAAGAGAGAATGCACCTTTTGAAACTGAGGGCACTTGTGTCACCTCTTACCCCTAAAAGTGAATCTTGACATCAACAGTTTCAAGACGTAACCAATAGGATTTTTGCAGGTGACAGCTTTCTGCACATGTACTCTTTTTCCTATTAACTGAGGCCCAACATTGGCACATACTGTGTAATTCTTTACTATTAAAGTCAATGTCCTCTTCTGTCACTCTACACCCATAAAATCAGCTACTGCCCACTGCCTGATCCCTTAACTGGTGCTGTTTCCCAAATTATTCTCAATCTGCCAACTTCCTGAACTATAAGTCTTAGCTAATTTTTTAGTATCTGATCACACTTGAACCACTCCTTTAGAGCACAGGAACTCACAGAATTTCAGCCTTTCTCACCTGAAACAAAAAATGCAGCCTGCTCAAATTAACCCTCTCCTTACTAAGACCCCTCAATCCTTTCTTCTCCACAGACTTTTATAAGAGGCCCAGGGAAACACATTGCTCTACAATCACCTTACATGAAATAATTCTCCTAACCTCTCCCAGAAGTTGGAAAAGCTGAAATCTAAAAAGGCAATGGGAGCTTCAGAATATCAGATAACAATGAATTTGAACTCTTACCAAATGTTGATGTTGATGGTGATGCAGAAACAACTGCACTGACGGTACTGTTTGGAACACCATCTGAAATAAACACAGAAAGAATCATATTAGGGTGGAGGATTAACTAAAACAATAGGCTGCAGGAGCAAGCACCCGTTATCCTGCCTTGGAGAAACTAAATCGTACTAGTTCCCTGGCTAGTAAAAGCATTTCAGGAGGGTTTTTCAGCATCACCCTCATGCCTACATGTGAGAGAAAGAGGACAATTCACAGAACAGGGCTCAGGAAGCAACAAGTTGAGTAATGACTGACTTTCCCCATGGCCCTCAAGGCAGTGCGCCAGCTGTTGGAAGTTTACTGCAGTAAATTATGCCAGTCTTAAAAATCCTAGGTCAAGTTAGTAGGTGGAAGTCTCCAATATTACAAAACAAACAAACCGGCCAAAAACCCCACCCCACCAAACCAAAAGCAAAGTATTTTCTATGACTTCTGGATGTGCTGAAAAGTAGTAATAGCATAATTCAACTAGAGTTTTTGCTTCAAATAAGATTTTCAGTCTTATTTCTGGGGTGTCCATATTTTTCTGCTAAAAGAAGTTAAGGGGGTGACGAAGGAGGTGAAAAAACTACTTTGCATCAGAAACAGTGGCATTTCATAACCATTCTACACTGCTGTGAGACAAGGATGGGTACATTTGGGGAGGAAGAGATCAGCTCTGTGACTGAATGGGAGAGCAAAATGGCACAGACTAATCCCCCTGTGCTTTCAGGTTTGGAGTGTGACATCCTGTCACGCTGTATTAGCATGCTGTAATATAGACATCGCAAAACTGAGTCAGGACAGCATGTCACTATTCTTGTGTGACTCCATTCATGGTAATATCTGCTGGCATGCTCTCTTTTTTTTTGGCTACAGGGCAGAACAGTCAGCTTTGTTCCCTTTGCTCGGCGTGCTGCGCTCCGATTAACATTTCACGAGCACCACCCGAGGCCTACCAGAGTCACAGATCTAACCTTGACAAAAAATAAAAACTATAATACAATTGCAGGAGTTCTTCAGGCACATGTTAAAGCCTGGTCAGATGAGCCCTTACAACTCCTCTTCAAGCAGTGCAAGGTGTTCTCAGCCCTCTTGGCACCTGCCTATTTCTAATGGGCCCCAGCTGGGTTGTTGCCCCTTCCCAGTGAGCCCTGCTCTCCTGGGCATCTCTTCTTGGTACGCGGCTGCCTTCACAATGCCTCCTCACGGCATGTGCTGGACCCATTTGATACGGGTATATCCGCTACCAAATTCAATCAGCTCCCTATGGGACCACTGCTGCCCCAGCCCTGCTCCCCAGGACACGTGAATACAGTCAGGCTATGCACAGCCCTTTGCCCAGTGCATTCAAAATACTGTTTTTCCTGCCGTTTAGTTACCCGGTCAGAAAAACGCTTCATAACCCACACTTGAAATACTTTGAAAACAAATTTTATCCAAATAGACCGAAAAGCAATCTTGTTGCCCTAAACAACAAGCATTTTTCCATCTCTTCATTCTCATTACAAGCTGCTGACAAAGCTCCTGTAAATCCCCACGCCACGAGGCCACAGCACTAAAACAGAATGTTTTTTCAACAGTGCCTACATTTCATATGGTTTGTTAGAACATCTCTCAGTAACTACCACGCCTATAACATCAGCTAAATGCACTAGCTCGCCAATTAGCTCATTCCCTAATTCTTCCCTTAACTTAGCATGACTTTGTGGAAAGCCTATTGCAATACTTAAGATTATTCATCCTTTAAAGGTGTTCCATTTAATAACCATGATGACAGGCTGAGATTTCCTCAAAACTAAAAAAACCTGAGGATTTAAGTCACAGTTTTGTTGTGATTCACAATTCGCTGATTTTACCACAGGCTAGAGATAAACTAAGGTAAATTTGATTAGCAGAGTAGAATAAAGTGGAGTTCTATGAATCAGTTTTTATCTTAAAATGGTGGATAATTAAGTATACTTTAAAACAAGTTGAAAGCAACATGCAAAAATGCTTAAAACTAGCCCATTAGAGACCGTTGCTAGACAAAGAGAGAGATGGAAAGATTAATTTTTCTGCTCATGTGAGGTTGGCTGCAGCCTCAGATGACGGACAACCAATTAAGTTACAATTGCATGGTTTTCAGCAAATTTAGATGCAGTGATCCCTTTGATAACAGAACATCTCAATGTACTTTGATGTGGGAGTAGTCAAAAATCTACTTGGCAACTGCTCCCCCCCCCAAACCTCTCCCATTTGCAGTACTCCCTGGCAATAAACTCAGCCAAAAGAGTGTAGGTGATCTGTGATGTAGCACCCTTGTGTCTGGAGAACACATGAAGAGCTAAAAGGTGCTCAGATGTGACAC